GCGGCGAATTTCCGACCCGTTTACATACCCGGGTCAGGTTAGGTTCGACCCAAACACGACCTAAAACCCGGTTTTGACAACCCTACGTCCCATAGTATTCGACCACTCCACCTCCACAATAAAACTCCCTTCATTCTATCCCCCATCCGAAAACCCTATTTCCCCCTTTCTCGGAGCTCTAAGATGTGGCTCTTGATGAAATGAATAAGCAAGAAATTATTAAATTCAGAGTACTGATGGATTGTATGCCCACATAACCCAAGAATGAAGGCTTAGGGTGAAACAACAGAAATTATTAAATTCAGAATACTGATGGATTACGTGAGAATTAAAACTTCTGTAAAAGAAGAATGTGGAAGGTAAGTCTGACCGAAGCAAAGACCGTGATGCAATTGAATAAGAAAGAATTATATAGCCAGAGATCAGAAAATTATGAAAGACAAATTAAATCATATAGGAATTCAAAACAATGAATCAATAAAATAATTTAAATCATACCGTTGTTTCAATGATAACAGCAATTAGGTTCAGTACAAGAACAAAAGCTATAATGTATCCAAATGTAGAGCTACGAACAAAAGCTTTCAACTTTTCACATTGAGGTGAATGGTAAAATGATGGATAGTTCTCAAAGCAAGAAGGCTGCATAAATGTAGCGAAGTGTTAGCAAGCAGAACTAGTATAGTTCATATAATTAGCTGTGGCTTAAAGGACATATTGGAGACAGGGAGTAGCCATAAAAAGCAGCAGAATGCATTAACTAGCTGACAAACTTCTAACAATTGGGAATATGAACTTACTGTGGCTTCCTTTTGGAACCTTAGAGCAATAGCATTACAGAGGTCGGTAAATTCTTCCAAATTGATCTAGAAAGACAAATCAACACGTAAAAACCAGTAAGAGTGAACATATAGCAGGCAAAATCTTACTATCACAGCTAAAATCATATTCATGAGCATTAGATGCGCAGGATTGTAAAGTGGCTGATAATTCAGATATAATCAGCATTTTCATGAAGGATTGGAAGGGAAAAAAAATCATAAACATCACCTTGAAATCACCACTATGATCAAGTTCATCAAATATCAGCTCAAAATCCTCCCTTGAAGTTTTTGGCAATGACCTAAGGATAGACTGCGTCTTTAACAGAGATTTATCAAATAATTGTAGTTTCATATGATGAAGTGATTAAAATTAAAATTAATAAGGCAAATATATACAGTTTCTGCAGCATTAATTAATAGGCAAATTTTAATTAAGCTTAAGTAGTCATATTTTCATGAATCTAAAACAAGAATAGGAAAAACTTCCCTCGCTCAAAGCAAGTATATTCAATAGAACAAAGAGAGAGGTGGGCTGTAGCATGCTAACAATGGTGCGTATCTCTTGATTACAATCAGGCATTTAGAACTAGAATCAAATTAGTTTCAAGAGGAACCCGAAGTTCACCAAAGTTTAATTATACAAGAAATATAAAATTGCAGTTATTTGTCAACTTCAAAAACAGTTTCACCATGACGATCAATCTTTTCCAAAATTATCTATAAATATTGAAACCCAGAAGTGAATTCACTTCAATAAATATGTTGCAACTCATTTTTGCAAAACAATTATCATTGAAATTGTTTAAAACTGATTAAATGAAAATATTTGACAAACCAAAAAGGAGAATTTTTAAATTTAAGGGAAAAATAGCATTGGCAAGTCCCACAATATCCTAAGTATATTCAGAACTACAAGTTACCTGTATCTGTTCAACTCTTCAAACAGACAGATACACTGCTCTTTGTTCAAAAACCCCTGATTCTAGACATCAAAAAAGAGGCTTGAATTAAAATATAGAGAGAGAAGATGAAAAACTGGCAGAAAAGCCAGAAATTTAAAAAAAAAAAAAAGCTGAAAATTAGGCTCTTATCTTCACAAAATCAAACAGCTATACACTCGGCAGGTCACTTAGATCAGAGAAAATCTTAGATTTTAAAATAATCCAACATTTAAGTTATTAAAGGTTTATGTACTTGAGAAAATCTTCTCACAATTGTCATCTTATGCAGTCAAGAGGATTCATTGTGGATACAAAAGAGTTATGCTTCTTTTGGAAGATGACATGCAATACGCTAGAAGAAAGGATGGCACATCCATACCAGTCTACCAAAAGCTCTTAATCACCTCTCTCGCTTCTGTTAGCTATGACAACTACCTATAAACCTCCAATCATTCAAAAAGGAGACCAGTACCACTCATAGGTACCAAACAAGATTTAAAAAAAAAAGCTAAAATTTTCTCCTGCTACCATCTTACAAAAAATTTTAATTTGCCCCTACTAAGCCTTAAAATCTATTGAACATGCTGTAAGAGGAAAAAAATAAAACACCAGTTTCTCAGTTCTATGAGAGTAAGATTGTAAGAATGAAGTATCAGATTTATTGCATGTCATAATGGACCCCTATTTGAAATCTTGTCACACGAACACTTTTCCCCACACAACAAAAACAAGTCTTTCTCTCAATACATGGGATAGCTACATGAATCCTTTTTCTCCATTGTGTCCTATTAAGAGAGAAATTCCCATTTAAATCTAATAAAAAAGGGGTCATTTCTAATACTTTCTAAGCAAATCTTTTACGAACTACCTCTACCTTTCTTAACATAGGCCAGATCTAATAATCTACTCTATTATGTCATCAAAAGGCTGACGTTTTACATGAACAAACCATCTATAGCAACTCTGATGTGAATCAAAGTAGGAATTGCAATTAGAATTTAAAATGAAGATTATTCAAAAGATTGTCATAACAAATTTAACTACCAACAAAAGTAAAGGATTAAATCGTTCAAAGTAGTTAACTTGCTTAGGCGAAGATGTGCTTTGAGTTAACCAAACCAATCTTATCATTCAAAGATAACGGAAACACTTAAATGCTCATAACAAGAATCCCGCAATTAATAATAAAGAAGTTCACCTTGCACAGGAGCTATTCCAACCTTTTCACATATATACACATTTCGCATTTTGTCTCTATGTGTAAAGCTACTCGTCCACCTGAGCATCTTCAACTCTGCAACACCTATTGAATACTTCATTCCAACCTACTCATTTCGCATGTTGTCTCTAATTTTGCCCCTAGTAAGCCTTAAACTCTATTGAACACGCTGTAAGAGGAAAAAAAATAAAACACCAGTTTCTCAGTTCTATGAGAGTAAGATTGTAAGGATGAAGTATCAGATTTATTGCATATGATAATGGACCCCTATTTGAAATCTAGCCATACAAACACTTCAGCCCCACACAACAACAACAAGCCTTTATCTCAATATATGGGATAGCTACATGAATCCTTTTTCTCCATTGCGTCCTATTAAGAGAGAAATTCTCATTTAAATCTAATAAATAAGGGGTCATTTCTAATACTTTATAACCAAATCTTTTACGATCTACCTCTACTTTTCTTAACATATGCCAGATCTAATAATCTACTCTATTATGTCATCAAAAGGCTGACATTTTACATGCCCAAACCATTTAAGACGACTCTCTCTAATCTTATCCACCACAGAAGCTATTCCAACATTTTCACATATATACTCATTTCGCATTTTATCTCTAAGTGTAAAGCTACTCATCCACGTGAGCATCTTCAACTCTGCAACACCTAATTTAATGCTTCTCTTTTAATGCCGAACATTTTGCGCCTTAAATCATTGCAAGTCTTACCACCATCTTATATAACTTCCCTAAAGTTTGGTGGGTGCTCTTCTAACACACAATAGGCCCGATGCATTTCTCCACTTCAACCATTCAAACTAGAATTCTACTAATAACATCCTTATCAAATTCACCATCGCTTTGAACAATAGAATGGAGATAACAAAAAATGCACTATCACCCAATGTCACAATCTCACCACTAGATCTATTACTACTAAATCTATACTGCATGTATTTGATTTTAGATCTACTCAAACGAAAACCTATAACACTGATGTTGACCTCCATAATTTAAGTTTCCAACTTCTCTCTAATCTTACCAACAAGAAGAATATCATCACCAAAAAGCATTCACCAACGTACATCCTATTGCAAATGTCAAGTAAAAACATTCATGAAAAAAGCTAAAAGATATGGGCTTAAAGCTGATATTTGATGTAATCCAACTGAAATAGAAAAATTATTGGTCAAACCATCTTTTGCTTGAACACAAGTAACAACACTTATATGCATATCCTTAATGACTTGAATATACGCATTATTAACTCTTTCTTTTATAGAACTTTCCAGAGCACTTCTCTTGAAACTTTATCGTATGCTTTCTCTAAATTAAAAAATATCATATGTAGATCCACCATACTCTCTCTACACTTCAACCCCACACCAAGCGCCAAATTAAGGAAATAAAAAAGGACAACATTCAAAGTACCCTAGGTAAACATGTCTCGTGTAAGAAGAAATTAAATGTGTTAAAATTAATGATGACAATCATGACAAGGAATGGAAAAATAAAATAAAATGCTAACAAACTTACAAAATTGTCGATAAGACCAAAAGCCTTCCCTAATATGCTGATCCTCATGTTGTCCATCTCAATAACTTGTTTAACAAGCTGGAGGCAGAGAAGGCAAGAGTAAGTCAGCGTTAGGAATGATTACAGGTGCACAATTATTTACAAACAGTGAAGACACTTCTCACTACTTTGAACATCAAACTAGCATATATAAATAACATCAAACTAGCATATATAAATAACATCCAAACACCTCCAAAGGCATTGTGAAAAAAAAAACCTTACCTGAGCTTTAAAGCTATCATAGACAACTGCAAGAATAAGATTTGTGATAAAGTAGACCCCCAAAAGAACATAAAGAATGAAAAATATGCAAGACCAACGAGATTTCCTGTACCAAGGGAGCAACATATCAGGAAAGGGACCAGGAACCATTAGAACATTCAGTTTCTGATTCTACTGAATGAGATTCAAGAGAAGAAAAAATGTAATGATGAAATCAAACATCAGATATGCACGTATAGGAATACCAAGGAAATACAAGACATTATAGCATTGAAATTTTATGCCAGCTGAGATATGTGCATTACTTAAAGTTTATTAACAAAGATAAGATCTACTCCAGAACAAGTAACAGGCTAGGTTCTTGTTTTATTCTTTAATAAATAAGAAAATGCATTTATTACAGTTAAAAGTTAAAGAACGGAAATAAACAGTAAAAAGTCATATAGAAATGCAAAAACGTTTATCACGTGTCCGATGAGCATTATACAGTTGCTTCTCTTTTTCAACAATAATACTGACTTTAATATTTAACTACAGTAAAAAGCTACAATATGAAATGTAAACCTTTTATCCTAGAGAAAACAGGGTAAGAAACACAACACCAAGCATGCCCGTCTTACTTGTATGCCGGAATCCACACATCTGGATTGTTAGATGTCGTGAAAAGCACAAACATCTGATAAAGTGTAGTTCCAAATGAACTAAACATTATCTTTCCTTGTTGAGTGTCTTCAAAAGTGACATAGGCAAGCCAGCTGGAAAATAGAAGGAATAATAGCCAAAGAGCCTGCAATTGCAAGAGCCAAATAGATAAATACAAAACCAGATCAAAATATGTAGAAATGTGTTTTTATAGCTCGTTTTCAGAGCGACCATACAAAAAAAAAGTTATTTGAATAAATTAGTAATTATTAAAGACTACTATGGTTACTATTAAAGACTACTATGGAATACTACTCAAAATTCTATGGAAAATTCAAGTATAAGCATACTATCAGAGTAACAGGTGGGCGGAACCAGCAAAGAAATGAAGGATGGATTGTTCAAATCCTTTAACCACCAAAATGGAAACTTACCAAGACATTCAGGTACATACCAAGCATTCCAGCAAGTGTGACTACGCATGTGCGCAACTCCCTATGAAAAAGCAGTCTAACAGTTAGATCATGCACGAAAAACTCGTGTTTCAACTTCTAAGCATAGCAATTGAAATTGCAATTCAAGTGAGTATCATCTGCAGTTGAATGCAATTTAAATTATATCACATACTACATGAGAAGATAAACTAGAAGGTACGGCTAGCCAAATTGACATAATTGTTCGCTGTGTCTGTATGTATGCAGATACACAGGCCTAACTGCGTGCATATATGCAAAATTGAATTGAGCTCTCATGAAAAATGGCAAACAATCTCTATGCCAAATATGCCAACATCAAACTCTACCAAATTTGGGCAGCCAACTAAGGCACTATCAACTTAACTTTTAACATTTTCAAAAAATGAAAGGTGAAATGAGCCAAGCTATGATGCACAATATCTCTTCTCTACTAAAGAATCATTGTCAAACAGCAGGAATTGTGGAAATACAGTCATAGGGCAGTAAACATCGAAGCAAATAGATGCATGCAATTGCATATGAACCAAAATTGCAAAGAGAAAACTCAAATTTGAAGTATGAGAGTGCATGACCATTTCATTAAAAACTTGAGGGATCAAAATAGTTCTTAATATAGTTGGAGATCATTTTGGTCCTTCATAAAGAGTCAAGGAATCATTTTAATCCTTTTTCCTTCTTTATTTTGGAAAACTTTTAAGTCAAAATTTTAAATTTAATTTATATTTGAAACCTATTTCCTCAAACTTAAAAAAATAGAGAAACAAAGGGTTGTTTTATGTATTTATCGGCATTGTTTGTGAGAAGAATTGAATTATGTCTAATTACATATAGCCTGTTTTCGTAGGACCATAGGCGTGGAGTAACTACACATTTTCTTTTGTAAATAGTGTCATTAGCACTAAAAAAATGAAAGAGATGTAAGAAAAATAAGCATAAAAAGAAAGAAGAAAATTAAAAAAAAATGTTTTTCAATGACCATGGAAAACTATTTTGATGTGGTTAAAGGACAATTATGCCAAAATTTTAGTAAAGAATCCATAAACATGCGGGAAGGTACCCATTTGAGGAACTTTCAAGTTGAAACTTTTGGCATTAGATAAATCTGCATTGAAAAAGCATCCACGCATTTTGATCTCCTTGAGAAAATTCTTGAATAATTAACTTCTAGGGTATTTAGATAAGAATATTACAAGAATCAAAAACCCAAAAAAAAAAAAAATCTCCAATCAATCATAAATCAAACAGGAATCTACAAGCAATCTCAAGACTAACGGCCATAAGAAAACTTGTCATCGATATTGAAAGATGAAGTAGATGTTAATTCCGATATCTCGTCATCAAAAAATGAGAGCATATTTATCATGAAAGATGTAGTCATTTTTGTATTACCAATGGTGGTGATGATGGTGTTGTTCCCTCCAACTAAGTTAATTCATGATTTAAACAATAATTGAGAATGGTAAGACACTTTTGATTATTCATCCCTATTTAATGGTAACTCCATAGAGGGTCAACATCAATATGTATGGGTGAGAATCACATAACTATAATGAAGGGATTTGACTAACTCATTATAAAATTACAAGGCGTACGGGAGTTGGTAATATAAGATTTTTCATTAATTCAATACTTTTTCTTGAGATTTCTCATTAGGATACACCACATCTTGATTTTATCATGTTTTGAGGCAACAAATGATCAATAGCAGACCAAAGTAGTATTCACAAACATAATTTGTACTGTCAATCCAAAGATTCAATTCAAGAAGCTATTCTTCCTATCTTGGTTTGGGATAAAGACACTAGACCTAAAAACTATCATGATGCTAAATCATGAGATAAGTGATCCATTAAATCTCCATCGAGCCAAGAAGGCGAAAGGAGGGGTCATGATGAGGACATCAGCAGAAAAACCTGGCAAGTCTATCATAGGAGGAATCGTAAATCGATGGCCACGATTATGAGTCTGTATTTATAGTCTATTTTATGCATTTTATTTATTATTGTACTTTATTTTGAGAGACTTATCCAGTTTACCCTAATGTTGAGTTATATGAGTGTTATAGCCCAAGGGGGCATTTTAGTCTTTTAAGTCCTTCATGTTTGGAGGCCTCTTGACTATTGTAGGAAAAGGATGATTATTATGAATTAAACTTTAATTTTTCTGAATTGTGTGTGTTTGAGTCTTCTTGAGAGAATAGTGAAGTCCTTAGGAGTAGGTCAACGCAACACCTAGTAACTGAAAAAATGGTAAGGTTCTTGGCACTATCTTCTCTCCCTCCTCCCCCATATTCCTCCATTGGCTGCCGAGCCCTCCAAACCCCTTCAAAACAACCGGCCGATCCCTTCTTCCCACTCAAATCGGCCAACTGAGCATTTGTTAGACCGTTCTAGTGGACTGGTCCAGCCGGTCCGCACAGGACCGGCCGAGTCGCAAAACAGGTGACTGTTTTCGTCTGGGCGGAAGCGCCGCATGCACGAATTGAGGATCAATTGTATCTTGCTATTTTATTCTTCTACTAGTAAAATACAAGCTGTTCTTCCAATTTTCTCTCAGCTTTTCCCTGTTTTTCCCACTGTTTTGCTGTTTTTCCTGCTGTGAACAGCAGTTTGCATCGAGATTTGCTGTATAAGTGATTTGGAAATACTTGAAATCAAGTATTTCCTATCAACATTCTCCCTCTTCCAAACAGCTATCCAAAATTCCTTGCTTCCCTATACAGCCGAGTGACCTCCCCTCTCTTCCATTCCCACTCACCTGCAAGCCCACCCTTCCTCTCCTCCCATGACCGGCCAACCCCCGCTCCATTGCCTCTTGGTATTCCCTCCACCTTTTCCTCCCCATTAGCTCCACTCCAATTATTGCCTTTTCCCCTTCCCCATTAATTCCTAATGGTTGATGCCTTTTCTGATTCCCCCCATTAAGTTATAATGGTTGTTGTCTTTTCTCATTCCCCCCATTAATTCCTACACTAATTATTACATCTTCCCCTTCCCCACTAATTCCCAACAAGTGCCACCTCTTCCCCTTCTCCATTAAATCCCGAATGGCTATTGTCACTTCCCCTTCCTCCCCAGTCCCCATTAACTCCCTACTAGCTACTGCCCTTTCCTCTTTTCCCCATTAATTCCTTATAGTTGTTTCCCCCACTTCCCTCCCCTATTAATTCACTAGTGTAGCCGCCCCTTCTCCCATCCCCCTTCATTTTCCTCAACTGACAGCTAGGCTGCCCTTCCCCACTTCACCTCTTCTAGCCATAGCCGCCCTCCCTCCTCCTTACCCACTAACAGCAGCCTTCCTCCTTCCTCTCCCACTTCCCCTTGGTCGGCCACCTCCCCACCCATATCTTTCTTTAGCCGACAACCCCTCTCCCAATCAGCTACCTCCTATTCACTTTCAGCAAACCAAGCCTGAACTTCCTTCCCCAAACCGAGGACAGCCCAGTCATCCATGGATGGCCAATCCTGAGCTTGATCACGGTTCATATTTGACGATCAAGGCTTAGTCGACATTCACTGGTCTCCCTTCTTCGACGTCGACTTAGAGAACGACCACCTTGTCAAGGAATACGTGGATCAAATTAGCTTCTCACTTGCAACTTCCATTGACCATCAAAGACATGCAATGGCACCTACAATCCAACAACTACTTCTTTTCTGGGTAACTTCATATTGTTCAAAACCTTAAACGTTTACTTCTTCTTAGTGGCATTGTTAATATCGTATCAAGTTTTCTTCTGTTGAAATTATTCGAAGAGTGTGAGTTAGGGAACTTCTCCGTGACTATTCTAGTTGTTAATTGTGGGATTTGTGTGACTTGCGGATAAGTACATATTGCCTTGGTTATTATTTTATTGTTCCTCTCCAATACTTGTAATTGTTTGCTATTACTCTATCAACAATTGAGAAGTCGCTTAAATCAAGCTTTGATCACCATTATTATATAATTGTTAAGCTTATCAATTGATTATTATTCCTAAGCAATTCCTGAATCTAACATGTTTCACATCAGATCGGCATCTCCACCAGGCCGGGAAGCAAAAGGAGGGAGCGGCATCTCCATCGGAGTGAGGAACAAAAGGTGGAAGGAGGGATCAACATCTCTACTGGGCCGAGGAGGCGAAAGGAGGGGCAGCATCTTCATCAGGTAAAGGATGCGAGAGAAGGGAGATTCTTCGGAGTCTATAAAGGTCATTCTACACCTAGTCAATGGAGATGGGGTTCTCTACCTAGCTATGTGATTGAATGAATACCCAAAGAGGAGGACATTTGGGGAGTAGATATAGGTCAATTTGATGGAATCACTATAAACCTTGGACATTCTTACTTTTTCTGTAATTTTCATTACTGCACTCTTATTTTATTTTGATTATATTTGCAAAAAAAAATTGATGATTAATTTTGGTTAAATTTTGATTTGAAAATCAGAAAATAAAAACAAAAATATTTTTTCTGATAATTTTATAAACAAAAAAATCTATTTACTTTTAGATTTTGTTATGAATTGTTTAATCTTTTAAACGCTTAACATATTTCAAGATTTTTTTACGCAAAAGATTTTCAAAACTTTTAAAAGAACCAATTCACCCCCTCCCCCTCTTGGTGTGCCTTAAGCACTATCAAATGGTATCAATTAGGGGAGTCAAAAAAAGTTTTCAAGTCGGGTTCGAGTCCAACCCGAAACTGACCGCCTTCAATTGATCTGAACTTAACCAAACCCGATTAGCTAAACGAGTCACAAACTCAGACCTAAACCTTACCCGCATCTAACCAGATTCAACCCAACCCGTTGACCAAGTTGGGCGCAACTATGAGCCAGCACGAGCAAGCGAGCGCGATTGTGTGAGCAGGCGTACATGCAAGCAATCATGCTAGCATACAGGAAAGAGAGCATGCGGGTGTTAGGGTCTGTGGGCGTGACGACGAGAGGGACGAGCACGACTGCGCGACGAACTGGTCAGTGCCTTGTCGCTTTCAAGTTTTCAGGTTCACCCAATGCAATCGAGTCAGAATATTAAACTTGAATCTGACCCGTTTTTCAAACAAGTTGACCTGAACTTGGAATTTTCGGGTCGGATTCGGGTCACGTCAAATATTGACACCCCTAACATTAGTGCACTTTCAATTAGTATCAGAACTAATCATGAAATTTCAATGTTGGCTAGGATAACAACAAGAAACCTATAAAGTTGGAAAGGTAGGAAGAGGAATAAGTAGAGATGATGGCTCAAGAGATAAAAAGAAAGAAAAGAATGGGTTGTCTACCGAAAGGTTACATTGGCCAAAATATAAAATTGTTATGTCAAGTAGATCATAACATCGATAACACTTCTAAGTAGGAGTGCAGCCTAGGAAGATACACCACAAAGCATAGGGATAGGGTTTTTCATCCAGAAAAGCCATCAATAAAGTTGGAAAAGTAATGGAATACAAAATGAGGTATGAACTGGGCTAGGATCCCAAATGTTAAAATGAGTTAACTCAGAAGGATGAAAACAATAGCTTGAGGTAGACTATGAAAATGACGCATGATGATGTTTCTCCAACTCACCTGAATGATAGACAAATTGGAGAACACACAGAACCAACAAGAAAATCACAAAAATGTTGCTGGGAGAAGGATGACCTAGTAGAGCGCTAATGGAAAAAAGTAATAGTTAAGGAAATAGTGGAAGGAACATCAATTATTAGAAATTTAATCCTACTAGTTTAAACATCTCCACCAATCATCTTATTCAAGTTAGATCATGAAAAAAAATAATGGAAGGGATATAACATTAAAATCGTTTTGGGACTTAGTGAATTAATAGAAAACATACAGAAATTCATAGGGCATAAGACATCATAAAAGAGGATGGAGTTTTCAAAGGAGAAATTTCTCAGAGACAGTGTAAGAAGACCAATTAGCCACAATCACAAGAGAAAGGGATTCTGCAGAGAGAAAAATATTTTATGGCTACCTGTCAAATCTAAAACATACATATGGAGATAGCTGCAACAGTTCTAAATGGAAAATTAGCATAAGAAGTAGATTCCTGAGAGTTTTGACTCAAACAATCATATTCCTCTTGAGAAAACATGATAGAACCTTAAGGTGTGGTAACATCGGAAGAACCATCAATATGAAGAGAAGTTTCTCAAGCACACTGGGCAATAGAAGAAAAGCTAAATATGGCCTGCCATTACTCTAAAGGATGGTTAGTTTGTCTACACTAAGGAGGAAAATACTCCCCCACGACTGTTCATTTTATTAGAATGATCAAGACTATTCAACAATCAAGTGAGTACAGCATAGTCAGAGGCTTACAATTTGGGTAAGTTTCACAACTAGAATCAATTATTGCTTGCAGTCTCATGAAACAATATTACGGAGTCAATAAAAGGATCAAGACTATTCAACAAGCAACTAAGAATAGCATAATCAGAGGCTTGCAATTTGGAAAACTTGAGGTATCATCGTGACCTAGAGGAGGCATCAAAGTGAGAGTGTTTGTCATTAGATCCAATGAGAAAGCAAAAAATTCTCAACAACAAGAGGTAGTACCATTGAATTTACTTACGATTCTAATATTTGATGAGGTTTCACATCCAAGAGAAAAAAAAAATAGAGAAAAAAAAGATAGAGAAAAAGTAACATCTTATCATCATCATTAAGTGGAGAGAGAGATAGAAAAGTCAACAAGTAATAACTGAAGCCATTGTACAAGGAAGTCTGCATGCTGCACATGAAGGAATGAAAACAGTGGGTGTGTGCATCGACTAGAGTGAAAGACGATGGGCATAGCAAAGCAAGACATGTAGGGGCAGCATACACACACACGAGAAACAACAAGCAGCATATATGCAGGCACCATAAAATATATATATATATATATATGCAGGCACCATGTGGGTTCTTTGCCCAGTTGCCTTACACAATGTTAGCGTATTTAGTCCTTGTAAGGGAAAAATATTAATTAGTATGAAATGGGGGTGAGGAAGAAATTCAATGGAACTCAAGCAATCTACAAGGTAACTTAAAGAGGGAAGAGACTACATTTATCATGATGGAATTTTAGCAAGACTTTCATCTCAACCTACACATTCTTTGTGCATGCCGCACATGTGGCTAGTGGCATGTAGCTTGTTCAAGCACCCACACTTGTATGCACTGCATTTCACACTGATTTGGTTCCATCTGCCTGATTTTATTTGCCAAAACCTCATGGCATCAACATCCAACTCTTCTCGCACACACAAGCAAGGCTTTTGTTCTCGATACCTCCTGCACCAAGGGCATTCATGTTATCTTCTCCGATCCCGCCTTCCAATAATTTTTACAATTACTCCTGCCTTTGGCATTGTGCCCGTTCAATTCCTTCGACACTGAATGTTGTGATGGCTATTATTATGGCTTCAAATTTGGATCCTCCTCCTTTGCCCATTTTTCAATGAATCCCACTACTTATTCCTCCAATATTGGCTGCTCCTAGAGTTTTAAATAACCCCCGCTAAGATTGCCACCTCCTACCCCGATGGCTGCTTGCTTCACATAAGCTCCCCCTCCTGCTTTCTCTCCTTTAAAATCTCACCTCCAGCAACTCACCCTCCTTGTTCCTTTACAAATAATGTTGGTGGGCTAAATGATTCAAGAGTTCATTCCTCATCATCAAACAATCAATTCCCCTTTATTTTCCAATAAAATCTAGTATCGCCTTCTAATGAACATCCACCAACATAATAGGGCAAATATGCTCTCATCATCACTAAAGAGATCTCAAAGCTTGCTAGGCCTCTTTATTTTTCTACTATAAACAAATTCTCGTTGGTCCTCCTTAATCTGGAGATTACCCATTAATTTTTTGTCTAATTTAAATTTGGTTTGTAGCAATTTGTTGAGCTCATTAACCCTCATCATGGTATTAGGTTATCTTTAGAAGCAAATAACACAATATATATATATATATATATATATATATATATATTAAAATAGTCACCCCATTTTTATCTCTTCCGAGGAACCACCCATCAATCCAATTTAAATTGCATTCTTCCATCTTCTTTTACATTATTCCAATCAATCCTCTTTATATTCCTTGGTCTCTAAATTTGGAAAACCTTTACAAGTAGATAATGTTATTGCTATTCTTTCAGGGCCTTCTATGGACAGAGTCTTAGTAAAATAGACATTACTTCTCAGTTAGAAAAGCATGTATAGATTAGATCTTCTACTTGAGGATATTGGCAACAGTTGAAATTGAAGGAATCCCAATATATTGTTCATCATGCAAAATTGTTTGGCATAATTTCCATGAATGATTCAAAGGCCATCAATATCTGAGTAAATTTAATTATCAAGCACAAGAGATACAATCAAATGATCAAATCAGATCTGATCCTCTACCATTTTGCAAGCAACTCCTCTATTAGATTAGGTCTACAATCAAAACATGAAACCAATTTTAGATTTTCTTTGGAATTAGAGGCTTTAGTTCCTACATCTGTTATCCCTACAATGATCACATCAACACCTAAGGGTATATTCATTGATCCTGATCAAACTGCTACAGCAACGCCTAACGTCCCACTAATTTGTGAACATAATGATGATGAGGATGTTCTGCAGCTCTATAACTTAGACAATAGCACTCAGAGTGTTTACTCTCCGGTGGATAAGAGGTTTTAAATTATATTAACTAGACAAAACTGGAATCAAGAAAATAAAAAAAAAACTATCAACACTCCCCAAAACCACCAAAATTCAAGCAAGGAGATCCAAATGAATCATTTTGTAGTTTCATTTCTAAGAATTTACTATCATATCACAGACTTTCACACAATATTTATCTTTTCATTATACCTTTCTTTTTTTCTCTAATAATTCCTATTAATTGTCTTTGAAGTACTCATATCATTTTATAGTTATAATATTTCAATTTCATTTAAAAAAAAAAGTTAAAGAGAAATTCACAACTACAACAATAATGTCAAAGATGACAATAAATGTGGCATATTATGCATTATATGTCATTTGAGTAGCATCATTAAAAATAAATATCAAATCGCTTATAGAAATAGAAGAGCTACAAACATATGACCCTAAGTTTTGCAAAATAATGCCAAGTAATAGACATGAAAGGATATTATAAGCATAAAAATCCTAGCTCAAAAGGCACCATAAGGGAGTGAAATAAATGCTTGTTCAAAATGATTAGATTCATCTAATGGCTTAACAAATATTAAGCATATCATTTGCTAACTGAATATGCATGAAACCACTAGTTTTCATAACCCAGATTTTTAATTAAGTGTGCAGCAGTTGTCATATCGCTGCCTAACTGCACATTCATGAAACCACTTGTTTATATTTCCTGAATTTTTAATTATGTAAATCCATTCATGATGAACTGTATTATGCATGAAAATAGCACATAATACAATAAGACGAATAAAATTTGGTGTTTAGTGGAAATAAATAAATAGCATACAATTACCTGATTGACAAGGTAACAAAGGCAATACGAATATATGGAGCAATTCTGAACGGCAGGTAAGTAATTGACACAGGAGATACAAAAAGCGCATAAACCACTATATCACACATCAGAAGGAGAAGAAATATGACCTGCATGTGGAATGCATAAATACATTTATTAGTATCTCAAAATTTTGATAAACAAAAAAATAACAAGAAATTCCAGCAAGTGCATGAGCCTTGATGTGTTTTGATGGCAGAGGGGAAGGGGAGGTTGAAGTGCTGGACCACTGGTTATGGCCCAATGGTCAACTATGACCATACATATGGTTCTACACTCATCCCTACACATTCATTATTTTTATTTTTTTTTACACATTCATTACTAGAACATGACACCAATGTCATTTTCAAATAAGCAAGCTGCGGTTGAAAAATGACAAATCAAGGTCAAGCAAAAGCGTAGAAAATTTGGAAGGCCTACAAAGGAGGAAGGCCTACAAAGGAGGAAAAAAGGAAGAACAGTCTATAATAAAAGATAATTGCAATCGAGCTCCATCCATTCAACAACAAATGGCATGAAGAAGTCGTTGCATTTTAAGGTTACCAATTTTCTAAAGATACAAACTATACAAAAAGAAGAGTTGCAATCAATTTCTAACTATTCCACCATCAATGACCTTGAGAAGTCATTACATATTAAGGTTAAAAATTTACTAAAGATATCTGAAGTTGAAAGGTATTTTAACTAACCTTTAACTTGTTCCAAAGATTCTTCAAGAATAGATTCCAACCTTCATATGCAATTGGGAAAAATGTATGTAAAATGAGTATAAGTAGGGTGATTCCCTGCAGAATTAAAGGTAGTAGAGTTAAAATTAGCTAGACAACAATTATAACTTAAATCATGATGAATATTTAGTCAATCCAGAAGAGGGAGGAACACATACATCTAAATGAGTTCCAATATCAAATCTATCAAAGGCTATATTAACAAATGGAGGTGTTCACCATCATGCTTCCTTTATAGGAAAATTTGTCCTAGGCACACTAAGGCTTAAATTGGTACTACTTTGAGTTGTTCATCCATAGAATGACAGCAAAGAATCTGCAAATAGAAATTTGACTAACGTGCTTATCTATGTTAATCATCATGGTCATTAAATGGTCCATATGGAGGTAGCATTTGAAAGGAATGAGCATAAACTTAAATAGTTAAATTAATATTCTTCAATTTCATTTAGACGAGCTCAATAGAATCTTAAGTTTCCTGAAGCTGTAAGAAGCTACAGAAGCCAACTAAAACAAAACTTAGAGAAGCAAAATAATATCATGACTTTAGATCTATCAAAAAAAAAACATCCTTAGTTAGGGGTTGTTTGGGTTGTTACATTTTTTTGTTGGCTTGAATTCCTTTTTAAGGGTTTTTAAAATATTGGCAATTGGTTGGAAGAAAAAGAAATGCAAAATAATTTTTTTTACTTATTTGAAACTCACCCCTCAGTCAATTTTTGGTGAATTCCAAATAGAACTATTTGGCCAATTTTCAAATACACTACACTAGTTGTCTCCGGCTCTCCGCTACCACCAGTAAACATTGCCATCATCAGCTGCCAACCGACCGCAGTTGCAACCCCAATCACCGTCATCAGGCTTTATACTGAATTCATTTTACTTCATACCAACACAATAAAGTAATATCCAATATTTCTATTACACCCAAGCAAATGGTTCAAAAAGTTCTCAAATATGCTACATTTATTTTACACAATTCACTAGGGGTGTCAATTCGGGTCAACGGGTCGGGTTCGAGTTGAACCCGAAACTGACCAGGCACTGTTCGGGTCAACCCGAAACCAACCCGTTTTTAAAAACGGGTCAGGTTTCCGGACCCGAACCAATTCGGGTCCAGGTCAACCCGACCCGGCACGAATGACCCGAAGTTGACCTAAAATAGCTAGTTTTCAGGTCAAAATCGGGTCAATCTTCGATTTTCGGGTCAATCTCGGGTTTCCGAGTCAAATAGGAGTTTTCGTGTCAATTTCGGGTCATTTTCGGGTTGCTGGGTCAACCCAAACCTGACTCGATTTTTAAAACGGATTGATTTGTTGAACCCGAACCCGACCCGTTTCGCGTCCGAGTTGACCCGAACCCGGATTTTTCCAGGTCGGGTTTCGGGTCGTGTCAAAAATTGACACCCCAACCACTAACTAACCCTAAACAAAAGATAGAATCACGATGAGTATTTCACGAATGATAGGCATAACACATAAAGACTCATAAGATTAAGAGAATGACTAAACAAATAAGAGATGCATGATGGCACACCCCAAACTCTCATTTCTTAAGATCTTGCCCGCTTTAGCTTCTCAAACCATAGAACAAAAATTTAAGAATTCCATGTCACTACATTTAAAATATATTACAACCTAGCCCAACATTATAGAAGGAATTGTATGTGTTGCCATATCAAGCTTAAACTCATAGTTTCATCTATATTACCTATCCCATGCAGCCCGATGAAGTTAGCAGGAGCAAAAAGTGCTATAAAGCAAGCATATTGGAACTTCATCGAGTCAAATAGCACACATAAGCAATTAATTGAGTGAGTGAGGGTGGGCAAGTTGAAAGGTGAGTTAGCAAATAGGGTAGGATTGGGATTGAGGTTGGAATAGGGAGGTAGCATGTAGGGCAAGAGTAAACCACGATGACTTCTAGATTCTTACAAAATGATTAAGGTTGGAAAAGGGAGTCTACAGTAAAACGCAAAAACGACGATCGTAGGTCGTCGCACGCATTTCGATGCGTCGCGACGAAACTTAAGTGAAAAATTCAAGGTTAACGAAATCTGAGGAAAATAATTTTATAAAATTATACGCAAAATTTTGATCAATTTGGTATATGAAACTTGTATCCAATTTTGCTTAAAATGCGAGATAAAAATTATGGAAGCCTCTAAATACCAAAACTACCCCTAATATGTATTAATACCGAAATAGAATAAGTGAGGACAAATAGGTCTTTTGGTTTTCCCTTTTCTCCTTAATATATCAACTGAACCCCCCCCCCCCCTCTTCCCCCTCTCATTTCATTCGGCCAAACCGAAACCGAGCGGAAGATAGGGCGGACGGGGGGACGACACAGGCTTCGGCAAGGGTAGCTCCGACGGCGATTTTCCGGCGAGGAAATTAGTGAAAATTGAAGAGGCAGACGAGGGGAATCTTAAGGTATGATCTATTCAAAGCGAATCCCTCTCCATCTCAAGTTATTTAGAGACAAAATTTTTAGGGTTTTACAAAAATTTTGTTTTATTTCAAAACTTCTTTACGAAATCTTTGAGGAATGATTGGGAAAGTATTTTAACGATAGAAATGAAGTTTTTTGGAGAAATTTTGGAAATCAAAATTTAGGACTTTTACCTAAAAATATAATTTTCTTAAGAAGCTTTTACAAAAATGAATCATATGGATCTTAGGAATGTTTCTAAACAAAAATTTTAAGTTTTTATAAGAAATTTTATTTTTTTCTTAATTTTCTAATTAATTTAATCCGAAAATAATTAAGGTAATTATTAAAATATGTTTAGGGATATTTTTGGCATATTAATTTCATGAAATTGAAGATTTAGGAATTTTCGAAAATTTAGGATTTTAATAAATCCGAAAATTAAGGTTAAATAATACGAATTTTATTAATCGTCGTAAAGAATAATTAAGGGTAAATGAAGGGTTTAGACAATTAGGAATTAGATTAAACCTTAAGGAAGATTGATTTGTGACACGTCATTTTATGTGATTATTTAAGTTGTCATCTTTAAGGTGAATGAGGTGTGTCAAAGCGACAATTTGAGGAAATACTGTGCTTGGGTGAAGATAGCTACTCATATTATTTGTAAAAATTTCATATTTATGTTTTGTTCTTTTATTCAATGCAAATAGTTGAATCTTTGAAGTTATATGTTTTCTAAATTTTATCTCTAGCAATTAACATGGTCAAGTCTTTTATTTCATGATGTTAGTAAGCTTTCATATTATGTTTAGATTCAAGATTTTCATATTTTAAATTTTCCTTACGCATATGATTGACTAAACATAAAATATAAATTATAATATGAGAATGTGCATGATGATGCGGAGTGCCCAAATGGTAAAGGGGTTTGAAAAAGCCAAATGGTAAAAGGGCTCGAAAGAGCTAAATGGTAAAGGAGGCTCGTTAGAGCCAATGATAAAGGAATGACCAAATAATATGAAAATATGTACCTGATCAGTATAGAATTTATGGGCACCTCCGAGACCGGTGATATAATAGACATTATGCATAATATAGTTTATATATGTTTTCTACAAAATATGAAAGTTGATGTTTAAGGAAAAACATTAAGTGAAAGGTTTATAATTGAGGAAAGTTTATGAAAATGTTTCTTATAAGTAATGTTATGAACTTATGCAAGTTTGGTCGTCGTTTTATGTTTTATTATGAAAAGATGATTTATTTTGATTTTATACAAATTTTTATGAAAAATATGAATTACCTGCTGAGCGAGTAAGCTAACCCCTGCTTGTAGGAATCTTTTTCAGAAGAACCATATGGAAAGTAATAACAACGAAACGATAGTACACCTACCGTCGTAGAGGACCTCAAGAAGAAAGGTTTTATGTTTCTATTATGAGTTTGAGTTAGTGGTTTGTATCTGAGAAGTTTGTTGGAGTTTATGTAAATGTTGATGTTTATGTTCTTAGTTATTGTGGTTTAGAAGAAACAAATTGGAAAACTTTCAGTTGATGTTTTTAGTAGCTCTTTCTTATTATGTGATTGATGATGTTTATGCCCTGTTATAAAAGTTAAATGAAATGTTATTATTTATGTTATGGTTTTTCTGTACAACTGTCTGCATCTGCTCCGTTAAATCAAGCTAGCCGGGCCGGGTCGGGTCGTGACATCCACTCCCACCATGCAAGAGAACCACCACTAGTGCATAAATAATTTTATTTAATATTCATCAAATTTTAAAAAAATAAAATTATATTTGAGTATTAAACATATTGTCTTTCATGTTAAAACATAAGTAATGTAAAGTAATAATAAATAACAAATATATATATATATATATATATATAAAGTAGTCCTAAATAGCCACTTGGTGTATAGTGTGTGTGAAAGTAGACATGAAGCCTTAGCTGGAGAGTGAGAACAAGAAGAGGGATTGCCGATGCAGCCATTCTGATGAGGACATCGACAGACGCTACCGACATGTTTATCGCCGGCGAAACCGCAGATCGACGGCCACGATTCAGCGCCTCTGCTTTTGATTTAGATGTCATGATGTATTTTATTATTGTATTGTTTGATTTACTGTTTTCCCATTTTTTGGCGTGCTTAACTCCCTCCAAATTTACTTGAAATCTGAAATTAACTTCAGATTTTAGTAAACTCTCCCCTCCCTCACCCATGCCGCCGGCCACCTAAGGAGGAATCCCTCTTAATGCAATTTAATGCATTCATTACACCCATTTCAAAATCCAAATTCAAAATATTCTCCCTCCAAATTTAATTAAATCTGAAATTAAATTCAGATTTTGATTAAAACTTCCCCACACCTCCTCATCACCTAATCTCCTAACCCTAGCCGCCTCTCACTCCATAGCCGCCCCTCCTTTGCTCATTTCCCCACCTTAGGCCGGCCCTCTCTTCATCCCCCTTGAGAGGTTGAGACAAAAGAAGAAGACGACAACATCTCCCCCACCCACTTCAATGTTGAATGGCGGATCCCGAGCTTGAGTGGGGTCTAGTATTCAACGCCGACGGAAGTATCAACGTCCTACGGTCGCCGTGCTTCGACGTAGGATTTGAAGACGAAACCACCGTGGAAGAGTACTTGGAAAGAGTCGTGCCAATCCTTGCAAGCATCTACGACCGACAACTTTCAAAGCACACTTGGAGCCTCGACGGTCACCTACGACTTCCATCCCCACCGGCTACTTTTCCTCCGACGAAGCTCTTCGGCGCCCTCTCCCTAGTGGTAACATCCTTCATCGCTTGGATCTTCTATCTCCGCCAAAAGCCTACCAATATTTGAGTGAGATGGCCCCGAGGTGAAGTTCTCGTTGTTAAACGTTGGGTTTTGTTATTGTACTTTGCATATTAAATTCTCCTAGAACTTGGAATGAATAGGTTTGGTTAATCTCTATTGCAAATCTTTGGCCTAAGCAAGTTAATATTTTCGAATTCATAACTCAACTTTTATGTGCTAGCGTAAATTTGTAAGAAGCAACACTTTAATCGTTTCTTTTTTTTTAATTTCCAAATAACTCCTAGTAGTATCACATCACATTCACCCAAAAAAAAAAACACTGCCACAGCATGCTTGAGATGCAGTAACCAATACAGATGCCCTAAATGAAAGGTTTATCACTAGAGAAGAAACCAAATGGAATGATAACACAATATCATTTTTCATATATTCATTAAGATATCAAGAAAGCGTTCCAAACAGGTCCTGGCAAGATTTGAAAACCAAGAACTGAGGTTTTTAATAGTGGTATTATTTTGCACAGGATAACTTATTGAGAATTTGAGACACCAAAGGTCATCAAGCAAGTAAAAAGCAATGTACCAGTTACAGGAACGGCAATAATCTAGATAAAACCCAAAACATTCAACGCAAAATCTCAGCTTCTGCTCATCTTGCATGTGCCTGACAATGCAATTCCTTGCTCGCTATCCATAAAAAACATTTTGCAAATAATCCTTTATGTGAAAAAGTTAATACGTACAACACAGACACTAGGAAAAGAAATCTAGACTATAAACATATGATATACTGTCAGTGTAACGACTAATGCAAAGAGGCTAAGCCAACGACTACAAAAAAACAAGCAAAAGAACTAGAAATATATATATATATATATATATATATATATATATATATATATATATACATAAATATTGTAATGGATCAAACCATCTTCAAACAATTACATCTAAAACAAATTCTTGGACCACTCATTAATTGGACTTACTTCATATACGAAGGACTGAGCATGAGTCAAGTAAGGCAGTTCTCCAAGGAAAAAATACTCCCTCTCTTGACAAGAAAACTGACGATTATTGAAGCACCATAGGGGTTTCTGAAAAGTTCAAAGTGCAGACAAACCAAGATGATCATTATCAAATGGGCCCACTCTATAAACCTAATCAGAAATTTTAATTAGAACATGCAAACTATTTAAATAAAAGAAGATATAACTAAAAGGATATTAAAAACTAACCTCAAGAAAGCTCAGCAGTATCAAGGCACAAAGATTAAGAGACCAAAGAAAGTTAAAACGAATATATATAAAATAGAACCTCGCGACTCTATCAAATCTGATATCATTCAGAACTTCTTCTGGTAAACCAATTCCATCTTCTGCCTGTAGGTGTACATATTCACCATGAAAATGTAAGAGAAAAAACATATCAAAAACAAAACAGCTAAACCAGACTACTTCCAGAACAGAAAATCATCGTAAGTAGAAAAAATGTGTTTCCAAGCATAATCATAGCTTCCGTGACCAAAAGTGACCCAGTAAGAAGCATTAAGGATAGCAATGCAAATTGCAGTACTTTTAGCCTTCAACTGAAACTATAACGAGGATACATGCAGAAATAATTAACAATTTAAATAAAAAAAATTTGTTTGCAGATGAAGATTTAAATAGTATCATTATTTTCATTCATCAAGCTGCAGTATTGCCATGTCATACCACGCAGCATCCTCCTCTTATTCAAGTATAAATTTGAAGAGAACAAATGGAATCATCTGATAGAGGGTTGGAGGTCAAAAAGAAAATAAAGCAATAAAGAGATGAAAGAGAAACTCAACAAGCAGTCCTGCAACTCTACTGAAGCTTCGTTTGGGATGGCTTTTTAATTGCTTTCTAAATCAGCTTTTTAGTACAAAAATTTTTTAAACTAAAAGATTTTATATTAAAAAGCTACTCTAAGAAAGCAGTATAAAAGTGGTCCCAAAAGAAGCCTGAATCAATAAATATCTACATCTATTACCACTAGCCTTGAAAATGAATTTCAGGCCAGCAATACAATTTTCAAATAATTAGTGCAGGAGCATTAAAATTCCATTTGTTCTTGTTGGAATGAACGGTCTACAGTTTTGCATAGCACGTTTATAGCATAAATCAATGGCGAATAAAAATAAAGAAAATGCAAAATCATGAAGAACCAAAGTTATAGTGATGGGGACATCAGATTTCGACACGTGTACCATCGCCGGAGACTCCGATCGACGGCTACGATCCAGAGTCTTTATTTTTGATTTATTTGCATCTTACATTATGAGTGTATTTTCTTTTATTTTCCTAGTTTGCCCCTGAGGGCATTGTTTCACTTATGTAGCCCTGAGGGCGTTTCTGTCTTTTCAGTTATGTTTATTTTGGGTCTCCTTATATGAGGCATCATGCATTGTAATAGTTTTTATTTTTTTTTGAGAAATGAAAATTCTATTTTGATGATTCTCTTTGTGAGTTCATGAAGCCTCTAAAGATCTCTTTGTGAGTTCTTGAAGAGGAGATCGCCGGTGATCTCTTTGTAAGTTCTACCGGTGGAGTGGTGTTCAAGGTTAGTCATTTGAAATTTCGTTATTTCTTTTCTCTCCAATCATTTCTTCCCCCACTTAGCCGAAATTCCTTTCTCTTCTCATTTCCCCACCACCACCCAAGCTCCTCCGCCGGCCTCCCTTGGCCGGCCCAGCCACCGGCGGCCCTCCCCCACACCCAAGCCACCGACCATCCCTCACAACCGCTCCCCACAGCAGCCCCACTTCAGCCCCCCAGCAAACCCGTTTCAGACGTTGAAATCCCATGCCAAAGCATTAAATTCTTTCCTATTTTACATCCCTTGCTATTTGGAAAGTTGCCTGTTTTATTCCTTCTCAATTAATGGAATAATTCCAACATTTCTAGCAGCAAATTATTAAGGAAATCCTCCTGTAAAAGCCCTCTCTGCCATTGGTTTGATTTGCTTCAGCCAATTCCCTCCTCTAATTTCACTAATCTGACATTATTTCATATTAGGAAATATTTGCTCTTCCTCTGGGCTTCTCCACCTTAGCCGACCACCTCCCCTCTTGGAACTTCTTGTGGTGACCACTCATCTTCACCTCCATGTCGTATGGCGGACCCTGAATTTGAATGGGGTCTTGTGTTCGACGCCCACGGTAATCTCGACATCCTACGATCGCCATTCTTTGACGCGGGATTTGACTCTGACGACGACACCGTTGGAGCTTACTTGGATCGGATCCTCCCCTCCCTAGTGCAAGTCATCGACAGACAAAGTCCAGACTACGAGTGGACCATCAACGGCCGACCTTCCACGCCACCTCCACATCCTACGCCTTCCTCTCCATCACTACGGATCACCGGCATCGTCTACCTCGGAGTGGTCTCATTCCTTGTGTGGTTCTTCTTCCTCCAACAACCCTAGACATAGAAGAGTGAGCTTAAGCCTCAAGGTGAGACGATCGCTTTGTTAACCGCCAGATTCTAGTTGGCTTTTCATTGTCATTACTTTTAATTGACGTCGTTATTTTATTGATCTTGCTAATTTAGCGGTAACAACTTGCCTAAACTTGGTTAAAATCTAAGATCTTGTTTGAAGTATCAATTGTGAGAATCATTAAGATTGTACTTTCATTATTTTAACTAACTTTTATTAATTTTCTAAGATTCAATTCCTGGTTTCACATCATATAGGTGCCAAGATGCAATGTCTTAATAGACCACAAAATAACCAATATGGCAAATCCTACAAAGTAATAGGAATTTACCTATGAAAACTTCTAAATATTGATCCATACCATCTCCAATAATAAGCATCTTAAATAATAAGTGATCTCACAAAAAAAAACATTTTGCAATAAACAATATTATGTTGAACCATGCATGACAATTACAAAATCTATGCATTCATGAAATGGGAAAAACTATACATATTAGCCTGAACTCTAGGATTACATATGGATTCCTGAACTCAAATTCAGCAGCCTATATTATATGAGTAGGTTCTTATCCCACGTATTCAGAAGAGAGTACAGTACTCTGTTATTTGAAAATGCAAGATAAAATTTACAAAATGTGAAAGAAGATATAGGATAACAACCTTACTTTCTCTTTTTTGATGGATAAACTTAAAAAAGACAAGAAATTTAGAATAAATAGACCAAAAGACAAACATCTGAAACCTAACTATTTTGGAATGAACTAAGAGGCCATCATATGACCAAGGCACTATGCACCATAGCACATAGAGCACAAAGTACGCTACTTTGTTGGTTCAGTTTTTTTTATTGGCTTTTTCATTATTTTGTTTAAGGTGTTAGCCATGAGTTATTTGGTTCACATGAAGTATAATAAAGCCTTGGTTTGGATATACAACCACGTGACATTATTGAACTTTTATTTTTTAAATGACATAAATGTTGCTAATGATGATTAAAATGGAGATAATGAGTTATATGAATTAGAATTTGGCTAACAAAAGTTAACATTGAATAAAATCACAATAACTAGCAGTGTCTATGGAAGAAACTACAATATTTAATATTGATCTAAAGAAAAAGAAAATGAATCTTTATCTAGGCCTACCACACTTGCAAAAGAACATGAAAACGGCAAAGGTGATGAAGAAACTATAATTTAGGATGATAATGATGAATGATGCAAGTATTTTGGCTTAAGATGATCATGATGACTCTTAAGCTAATTAGGTTATTTTTTTTAATATGAAATCTTTCAACAATCTACTTCTTATATTTTGAGCCTAAGTTCCAAAGTTTAATATTTTGTTCTAATCTTATGTACCGCTAAATCCATGATAATATTATTTGCAAATCTAATTATTTTAAATGCCATGACACTTTATATTTCAATATGATTTTCTTTTGTTAACCTTCATGCATGCTAAATCATTTTTGTATAATATTTTGAAGGCATTGCTTGTGTGTTTTCTACTTCTAATATATTTTAACTCTTATATTGTTGAAATATATGATTTTTTATGATTTTCTTCTTCTTAAAAATGTGTCGTGCTATGCACAATGGATCCAAGGGGAACTTGCATCATAGTTTGTCATTCGCTATTGATAAACACAGTTGAGATAGATATTTGATCCCGAAAAAACACTCGCCTCCTACAAGCCCAACCTTCATAGCCTCCTATGCGTGGGGCTCAACTTAATCACTACCTCCAACCCTAACCACTATCATCACCTCTAAGCTGCAACCTATCACCACCTCCAACCTAGCTTTCATTACCATCTACAAGCTCAGCTCATTACTATCTATGATCCTAGCCTCAATTGCAAGATCCAAACTTGGTTTAATCCATTGCAATCGTCTGGCAGATCTCTCCCCTCTCATTGAGACTTGTGTTCCCAGACACAAAAGAATGGCGAAACCAAGGCGGTGGCTGAGGATGACTCTCGCCCCTCTAGGGCTTTCGGAAAAACCATCAAAGATTATCCTATAAATCATCTTAGCTATACATTGTTCGAAGGCAACCATAAGCGTGAGGGTCAACCATCGGCACCCTCCCCCAATGAAGTTCAGTGGAGCCACAGCTGAAAAGTCTTTATGATAGCGTTGCATACATAAACTCACACTCCTAACGAAGCTGGTTACCGTTCAAAGTCCAGCACCAATAAAACAGTAACAAGAACTCCATACGCGACTGGATCTAAAGAAAGCGTTTTACTAGTCACGGTTGAGGAGCTTAGTGTTTCCACGAACCAGATCAACAAGAGCAGCCGCCTTCTGGTAGCGCGAGCCGTAGGCTATGGCATCGGACCTTCTCCTGTACTGTTGACTTGGCTTCTGCCGCTGGCGACCATCTCCGCCTCCGCTGGTAGTAGCTTCGGTAATTAACGGCGTCTCCATTGTCTTCACCCACGTGAGAGAAGCGAAGAGCTGCGACGGTAATTGACAAATGCATTTCCGGGAACCCTTTGAAGTTTCTAGAGCGACAATGCAAGCCCCATTTGGACGGACGAGATGATCTCTTGTCGACTAAAGTTAGCGATCGTACGGTATTCGAGCTCCAGCATGTAAGTTTTCAACGGTTATGTCTATCCATACATGATTATTAAAATAAATGAAAGCCAAATAATGCGAGTGACGTTCAGTTTTTTTTTTATTTAAAGAGAAAAAAATAACATAACTTATTTCTTTAAAAAATGAAGTCACATGTTTTTTATTCATTTAATTTAGAGAGATCATTTTTTGTCATTAAAAAATGATGAAATAGAAAGTCTTTATTAGATATAATTAATTTAATTGCATGTGCATCAATTAGGGGTATAAGTAGCCAAGCCGACTAGCGAGCCGGAACTCAACCTAATTAACGAGCTACGAGTCGAGCTTATCAAGTCACGAGTTCGAGTTTGAGCCTATAATAAAGCTTATATATTATACAAGTTCGAGTTAGAGCTCAGATATATTACAAGTGCTTATATTTGAGTTTGATTATTCAATCATTTTAAATATTGTGAATGAATACTAGCATGTGATTGATAATAGTGATCGAAATTACTATTATAATATTGTGATAATAATATGTATGTGAACAATTAAAAGCTAATTATTTACTAACATCAGTAGGAGACTGATTGACATATACATGATGGTAGGCCGATCAAATTTTCTTTAAATACTATTGTTTAGTGTTATCATCTATTAATTTATATAATTCACTAATTTGGAGTTATAATGAGTTATTCTTGTGCTAACGGGTAAATAGTGACGACTGTATTTATTAAGCCAATGATTACTCATTACTAATTATTGAAAAAACACCACGAAAGTCTGGATTCGTTGCTTGTTTAGTGTGATTGCCAAAATGCATGTCACTGTACATGTTTACTATTACTGTCATCAATATTACTAATAGTGATACTATTACTAATTCACTATCATTGTTACTACTATTGATTCATCGTTTCCTATTTTGCTATTGCTGAGTACGCGATTCTTATTATTGAGCATGTGATTAAGATATTGAATTAATACTTATATAAAAAATAGTTGGATACCATGTATATACTCTTATACTATTTTACTGCTTTGATATGATTTTGACAGTATTTATAGACGCTTCAGTTTTATTGATTATATAATTTCCTTATAAAATTGATAGTACTACTACAACATATGATTTAAGAAGAATTGTTAATTGCTTTACTAATTCCACATCCATATACTAGTTTATAGGTTTACATATTTCATTGCTTTTGTATTGTGTATTTTTAATGTAAATCATGTATTGTACTATTCTAATGCTTTACAAAGTTTATTGTTATTACATGTGTTTTGTTGTTTATGTTTAAATTCATAATCATGACTATTATTATTAAGAATTAACTGACGATATGTAAACTACATTTTAATGTGCTTTGAATTCAGTTGTAGGATTTAGTGATCTATTAAACTTTTTAGATCATTATATGTTGTTTAAATGATTTCAGGTCAGAGAAGAGAATTAGGAGTGTGAGACTAATCAGTTACAAAATTCCTCATGTTTACTATTGTTTTATTTCTCTGTCTTTAATTATTCTTTTGTAGTCATGAATAAATAGGTTGTATGTTATAATTGTGTAACTTTTTGTTATTGTATATGATTTTTGGAGCAATAAATAATGCTAAATATATATATTTTTCACTTATATGCATATTAGTAAAAAAAAAATTAGACAACCCTAATTATTATTATTAAAGATAAAAAAATAATTCTTTCAAATTAATTTATGGGGTTTTACATAAAGAGTACATATAATATTTCTCAATGATATTAACATGCACAAATGTTATCAGGTCGACAAACTTCTTCCTAAATCTCTCTACCATCTATTTTTCAAACGCCCTATTCCTTCAAACTTTTTAGAATTTGATCATAGGAGGATCTTTTCATTTGATTTTTTTTCTTTTTTTATGGATCTTTTCATACAAATGGAATCCACCTCTTCCTGTGATTCTTAACGGACATAATAATGTCACATTCCATGGTGAAAAGGCCTCATTTATTTGATTTCATCAATACTGATCTATTGCATTTGAAGAGCTAGGAATGATTGCATCTTTTTTTCTTCTATTTGCAAGAACTTGTTGTTAAATCTTTGGTTGCATGTACGCTTATATGGTGCAAGTAGTGGTGTCAATATTTGACACGACACGAAAATCCGACCAGATTTCAAAACGGGTCGTGTTCGGGTTTTGGATTCGACCCATTTGAAAAACGAGTCGGGTTCGGGTTGACCCGATGGGTTGGCGGGTTAATCCGGAAACTCGCTTAAAAATAGGGCAAACAGATTGACAGGTGGGAATGTTAAATGAGTGGAAATCAAATGGGCTATTGGTACGTTAATTGTGTTTTGCAGTCAATGTTGGTGTCGGCAGGGAACACGTCAACGAGAGTTGCTAGCCATTAAAGTCATGACAGCAATGTTGTAGCACCACATTGGAAATAAATTACTGTCGACGTCAAAGCCAGACAGGTGGATGCAACAATAATTTGGGGATGTTGTTATTTAAATAAGAAAATTCTCTTCGCAATTTACTATATATATATATACATGATTATCGTTGTAGTGTTGTAGGATTGTTAGCTTACGAGTTGATCCATTTAAACTATATTTGTTGTGGGTCGGAATATTTGCAGCCGTAGAGAGATATAGAAATTAGCATTCAAAATTTGTATGAAAATACAACACATAGATAAGAGAGATGGGTGCAGCATTCATAAGAGACACTGAAGTTATTACGTGGAAACCTCTGAAAAGGGGAAAAACTATGAAATCTTGCCTAGTTGTAAAATTCATTGGTATTTATGATTGATTACATTTATGCCCCTTTTTGGGGGAAGGGGTTGGCTTTGTGTAACAAATATACATCATATATAGTACAAAGCATAATTGGAGTTGGAAGAATCCGGTGACATGAGAGTTGTTCTCAGGAGAGTGTTCTCCTGCTCGTTTGATCAGTAGAACTGTAGTCGGGCGGCGATGATCGAAGGGGCCATAGTCAGACGACAGTAGTTGGAGGGACCGGAGTTGGTAGGCGACGGTGATCAGATGGTCCATATTGATCCCCTCGATCGTAGAGCTTTTGCCAGTCATTTTTATGTCCAAATGATGTCAGAATTAAGTGATCTTAGGCTCGTTGGATTCGTCTCATTGAGTAGCTCAATCCGACTATAACCATGCTAATTTAGAGGTCATTTAATTCTCCAATTAATATTTTTGAAGCTTCCTAATACGCTCCAATCATTTGATTTGGTCCCATTTAGGCTCGAATTGGATCAATTTTTTCTACCATTGGGTTCGTGATATATTCAATTTAACTAAAAGTTTGTTTGGAATTAGAGTTGGGATGGTCCCAAATTTAATTTCAGAAGTTTACAACTTAAATATGTCTGGAGATTCATGCTCGATTAATGCAATTTTTGGTTACATATCAATATTGATATAAAATACACTTGTATTATATTAATATTCACGATTTTAAGGACAATGATGTAAAAAATGTTTTAAAATTGTTTCTCACTTTTATCATATTAAGTGATTATTTATTATTATTATTTTTAATTTCAAATTCACTTTACCATTTTATTATAATAATTGTTTGAATAATAATCATTTTCTCTCTTTCATTACAAACGACCTTATTCAAATTCATAGAATAAAGCACAAGCTAAAACTCAAGCCATAAATAACTCGAGCTAGACTGGATCCGTTTAAACCCCTATCTCTCATCACCAAACTGTAGATTTCGCCCCGTTCACTCGACATTGCTCTTATGGCTAGTAGGGAATTATAATTCTATCACCACCCCACCTCTTGCTTTCACATCATTAGCCCCATTGCCCATCACCAAAGTCCAAAGAGATCCCCATTATATATATATATGTTGCGGACTAGAATATACGCGAAGATAGAGTTAAAAAACTTACATCTTAGCGATGTACGAATATCTAGCACACAAACATAGGAGAAATAGCAACACCAGGATTTTTATGTGGAAAACCCTGAAAGGGGAAAAACCACGAGGCCACGCCCATTTAAAAGAGTTCCACTAGTATTTGCTTAAAATGCAAGAGGCTAACTCGTCCTTAAAATTTAGGATGATAAGATTACAATGAATCTTTTCAGGATTGAAAATCAGTTACAAAGATCGGGCAGAATTTTGGTGTCCTTCGGAGGTCGGATAGAATTCCGGCGTCGTTTAGAAGTTGGGTAGAATTCTGGCGTCAGGTAGAACTCTAGCGTCGGACATAACTCCAGCGTCGTTCGGAAGTCAGGCAGAATTCTGACGTCGCGCAGAACTCTGCCGTCGTTCGGAAGTCCGGCAGAATTCCGTCGTCTCTCTGGCGTCGAGCAAAACTCTGGCGGTGGTCCTGAAAGAGTTTCTTCCCTCCAATCATTCTCTTCTTTTTTTTCTTCTTCTTCTTCTTCTCTTCTTCTTCTTTCCTGGGTCCCCTCTCATGAGAAATGAGGGGTCTATTTATAGATATTATGGAGTGGCATAGCTTGTAAACAGGTGTGAGATCAGGAGTAAATAGGGAGTGGTCGAATGGACGGCCGATATTGAATCCCTAGATCATGCATCCTTCGTCAGACATTTGAAGATCTTAATGATGTTGGAATTCAACGATCTTGGGCTCGTTGGATTTGTCTCGTCGAGCTGCTCGATTCGACTATAAGGACATTATATTTAGAAACCATTTGGTAACTCAAATTATGGTTTGAACTTTCCAACAGCGCTTCAGGTGCTTGATTTGGACTCATTTGGGCTCGGATTGAGTCGATTTTGGTGTCGTTGAGTTCGTATTTCCGAGACGCTTAATTTGACTATAAGTTCGCTGAAATTGAATTTCCAATGATCCCGGATTTAATTTTTGAAGTTTCCGGCTTGATTTTTGCCTTGAGATTCGTGCTCGATCAAGATAATTTTTTGATGATATATCAATTTATATTTTTGAGCCGACCAGGTCTAATTCAATCTCAACTCAAAATCGGCTCAAAGTCTAACCTAGCCAAAAAAACTTGCTTATTGCTCAGCTCATTTGACTCAATATGAACCTAAAATTAATTTAATCTTCAAGTGACCTTCAATTTTTGAGGTAAAATCGTAGCCCCTATATTTAAATGGTGAAGTTCATGTGATAAATATGCCATTGCAATAGTTTTAAATGCATGGTAGGAAAATCCACTTTAATAAAATATGGTTTAGGGCATTGACTTAATATTTTATTTAATATAATGTTTATAATTTTTTAAAGGAATCCAGAGCATCGAAATGCAAACTTTGATTAGATTAATATAAATAAATTTATTTTATTGAACTGATATCAGCAATAGGGGATAGGGGACAAAACTTTCAATCATAGCAATAATTTTAATATGAAGTTACTTTAAAATAATAATAATATGTGTTTCAATTGATGTTATATTTTATATTAATTAACTCTAAATCCTACTATCATACTTTACTATGATGGTTGAGTACGATTGAGAACCATCTAACTCGTGCTCGATTCCCCTAAAGTTGCAGCGCCTTTTAAATGAGGTCCAATCAAGTATGGATCAGGAGTTTTCTAGGTCAGCCAAAGTTTAGTCACGCCTGCCAAGCGCCCTTTCAGGGGTGGCAGCGCGTCGATATGCTGTTCCAAAAAAAAAAAAAAAAGTATTGATAAGTTTTGATTGTTTTTCACTATATGTGTTATATTGGTGAAAAGTAAATTTGGCAATGATTTGATAAAATTATTGGCTATAGTGTTATAAGAGATATTTTTGTCTTATAAAAACTTAAATGACATTATATCAGTAATTAAATTAAAAAAAAAATCAATATTGATGAGAGATGGGAGTTTAGCCATAAGAGAGGGTAAGATTTTGATCATTTTAGCTTGAAATAACTAATAATTCATGCATAAATAAAATAAATAAATTGAAGATGGTATGATCGATCCATACATAAAGATGTAGAAGTCATGAGTTGAAAGCAACGATATGGTGGGGTAGGAAGGTCATAAAGACCACTGAAGATGAATGTATTGGCCATCCTCTAAAAGTGTCATCAAAGTAAATTTGGAGATGTTGTTGCGGTCAGAAATGAAGGACAATGAGGATAATCCTTTTTCTGAAAGAAATGGTGGATTAAATGATTTGAGATCAACATACATATGATGGTGATTAAGATGGACTTTCCATTGAATTTATGGAGATTGATCGAATGATCTTGAGTAGATCTAAAACGGAATATATGGAGTGTAATTTTAGTAGTAATAGACCTAGTGAGGGGATTGTGCCTTTGGGCGATCAAGTCATTAATAAGAGTACACGTTTTACATATTTTGGATCTATTGTTCAGAGTGATGGTGAAATAGATGGGGATATTATCAGCAGAATTCAAGTTGGATGGTTGAAGTGGAGGAATGCATCAGGCTTGTTATGTGATAGAAATGTACCCCTGAAACTTAAGAGAAAATTCTATAAGATGGTAGTGAGGCCTGCAATGCTTTATGGTGCCGAATGTTGGCCATTAAAAGAGAAGCATAATACTAAGTTAAGTGTGGCAGAGATGAGGAGGCTTAGGTGGATGAGTGGCTTTACCCTTAGAGATATGATACGAAATGAGCATATATGTGAAAAGGTTGGAGTAGCTCCAGTAGAAGATAAGATTAGAGTGAGTCGCCTTAGATGGTTTGGTCACATAAAATGGCGGCCTTCCGATGACCCGGTTAGGAGAGTAGAGGTATTAGATTTGACTTATGTTAAGAAAGCTAGGGGTAGACCTAAAAAGACTTGGTTAGAAAATATTAGGAATGACATTTCTTTATTAGATTTAAACGAGAATTTGACTTTTAATAGGACACAATGGAAAAAAATGATTCATGTAGCCGACCCCACGTAGTGGGATAAAGGTTTGATGTTGTTGTTGTTGTTGTTGATTGAATGATCTAGAGTTAATGAGCTATTGTAGACTCTGAACACAATTTTAATCCTAGATGGAGTTTGGTGAACTCAACTTTGTAGAGTGAGCTAGTGAATGAATGTGTTAAGGAGTGTATGTTTCTAGCATGGGGTGGAACCATGGAATTGGTGCGTGACTAAAGAAGTTGGAATAAACCTTCTCTTAAATGGAGGGCATGAATCGAGAAAGTTGGTGTATTTGTAACAATCCAAACTCTTAATTATCGTTGTATTGTTCACTTTAGATTAATGGACTCACGATTTTATCCCGTTGGTGTAAATTCTCAAAAGGTCACACATTTCATAATTTCTCCCATATGAGCATGCTTAACCTTGAAGTTTCTCAAAGAAATTCTAACAATTACACCAAACGGTGTCTTGATATTTAAAAGTTTAACTTTTTTTACTTGAGGGATTTATGATGTCTCAAGTAACTGATATTTTTGTTATTATTTTTATCCCAAAATCATCCACCAGGTAGATGAGATTCTATAGGTGGTCCTTAGAGGTTCAAGTAGTAGCTCTCGCCATGCAACACTTTGTCCTATATAAGGTTCAAGAGGTGGGCCCCATAACATAACACTTTGTCCTATATGCCACTTAGTTTCCATCTTCCGATGTAAAAGCTCAAACTCTTAACTATTAAAATATTATTTTCTTTGGACTAATAGTCTCACGATTTCATCCAGTAAGTGTAATTTCCCAGATGATCACTAAATTTATTATCATTAGAGAATGATGATTATATGAGTTCTAGGAACTAAAAAAATTAATTATTTTTATATCAAAACATTCTTCTCAAATGAGAACAATCATTTGTCATAGTTCGCTCAGAAAAAATAGAGATTTGTTGAGATCACAAGAAATCAATTCGAGAAATCAACACATCACACGATGGAAGCCATCATGACAAGAAACATAGATACGAGAAGCTATGGAGTTGGTACAAAACACTTTAATGATACAATTCCTGTGACCTCTATGCTTTTGTCATAATCCGACCCTATCAATCTATGCATAATTCTATATAACATTCGAAATTTATTTGAAAGGAATTCACAAATATTCAAATTATATAAAATCAATGTAATCAATATCTGAATCAACTACTTAGTCTAAGAAATCTTGTGCATAATCATCTCGGGAGAAAAATTACAAATAAATCACTTATTTTATGGGTCTGTTTGGTAGTAGAATTTAGATCGGATTTGAGTGAAATCCAGACAAATAGTCTAAAATGCAAAACCAAATCTAACGGAAAACTAAAGTCGTTGTAAATGGAAAATTACCCATTTTTTGTGCTAAATATCCCGGATTTCTGAAATCCTCTGATTCGGCGGATTTAACACTATTGGCATGAGAGTGATGAAGAGTCGGCTCATTTTAGGATTTAACAATTCTACAGCCAAACAATAACACAAAATTTAACATTATTTATCATAAATGTTACAAAACAATTTTTAGGACAGGACCCCAAGATTTTGTAAATCCGGATTGAGAGGTTCTGGATTTACGAAATCCTACTTAAATAAATTCCTCGGTGCTAGCAAACAGCTCCTATTTATTTTGTTTTCGGTTCGGTTTTAACTTTTAACTTATCAGGAAGCAGCAAATTATCTTTGAAATTACAAATTGATTCTGAATGGGTGGATTTTAAACCTGATACAGCTATTTTGAACGGGAGAGATAGATGTGCGTTGTGTCACTACTCACTTCAGATCATGTCATCAAAGTGGAAAATCATTAGGTCCGGACACTGTACTTAAAAATATGTCCGGATATCCACTTAAAATTTGTCACGTGAACCGCACTTTTTTATTGCGCTTTTCCTGCACTTTACCTGTGCTTTTGGCACGCTTCACTTGAAATTCTGCGGACACATGTACATTCCACATATCAATATTTTATTGGAGTCCAAACGTATCTCTATATCCGGTGTCAGGACCTAATAATTTTCCCATCAAAGTAGCCATAACTTGAGAAACTGAAAAATTTTTAAGCTCTGACGATTCAAATAAAAGCCTGGAAGACATTCAAAACATGGAAACCGGTTAAGACAAATTAGGCCAATGAGAATCACAGGAAAACAATTTTAGATCAAAATAACAAATAATAAAAATTTTATGGTAGAATCATGAGAGATTCATTTGAAATTATCCCGAAGAATAATCCCTATACATAACTGCTAAGAACCGCAATGCGGGCTCAGTAGGGAATACAAGCAATCAAACTCGCTTTTATTCCCAAGTATAACTAATCAAATTCTATTCTACCTATTTTCAAAAGTAAAAGAAAAAAAAAAAATAAAATCAGTACAGAAAAAATAACCAGCGCTTGGATGATACGAGATCGGGAAGACGATCGGTGCAACGACAGAGGTTCCATTCTATCTTGTAGCTTTTTCTATCTGCTAGTCTGGAACCTTCTCAGGTATGTAACACCGAAGAGCAACTCATCAAGGTCAGTCATGAAGATAAATCCAGATCATTAAGACCTGGAGGTGATAGAGGTGGAAAAGCTGCCTCAGAAGTATCGAAAATCTGGAGGACTTTTCGACGAGCCTGAGATTCAACAGAGGTTGCAAGCACAGAAGAATTATTGTTCTGAAAGTTTTCCATTGATGAAAGCTTGTTTGCAGAGGTAATTGCAGAGCTAAAAATGCCGGATGCCCTCAAACTTTGAATAATGGCCTAAAAGATTGGCAATATTTCTCAATATGGAGCTATAGTGAGGGAAAGAACATAATTTTGCTGAATATTCAAGAGTGAATGTTACCATTGGAGCATATATACGAGTCAAGATGCCCTTTCTGAGAAGTTTTAAGTTGAGCTGCCTATTAGTCCACACAACACGCTCACGGAACCTAAAAGGAGGAAAAAAAATTCAATAAACTCTTGAACGCATCAACAGGGACTGGACAAAGTATCCATTTGTTTAGTTTGACATTTATTTATCATAAAATGCGACATAAACGTAATGGCAATATTAGGGATGTCAGGAAAAACTTGATGTTTAAGAACGACAACAAAGTACTTGAGCTAAGCTTGAACAATATTTTTAGATTGTCAAACACAAAAAATCACCTTACTTACATTCAACTCAACAAAATTTATATATATATACATCAAGAAAAAAATCTATATTAAATTTTAGAGAGATTTAATACATAACACTAAAAATTTTCTTATGTACAAAACTAACACCTAAATTTTTGAAGTGAGTGCAGAACCGGCCTTTCTTTTTAGGGGGGGCAAAATTTTCATATAAATGAACAATTAAAAAAATAAAATAAAATAAAATAAAATGAAGACATAATTTAAAGCAAAATCTTGTATTTCATTATAATAGATAAATTAAGAATTACTACAAGTAAACAATAAACAAAGCTACTAAAATTAGAGATGTGAACGGTGCATTGGATGTAATTACCTCCCAACCGATGAAATATAAAGAAAAAGAAAAATCAACTCACAAGACATTAGTTTCAATCTTCTACAGATAAAATAGATTCAACAACAAAAGCCTATATAAATATACTTGATACACAAAGCTTAACTTTTCAAAAACTTTAAGGTATATTCTTTATGGAGACAGAGTTCAATGAATATTTTTAAAATGATCAGCCTTTGTAAAGTAAATAGATTCAGTAACAAAAGCTTTCACCACTAAGAAGGATAAGATGATGCTTCTATTGAGTGCATTAGCTTAAAAGTATATGAAAAAATTTCAGAACCGAAGAATTTTTCTACTGCCCATTTCCAGCAACAAAGGGAGTCGGTCCAACATCATAAATGGCTTACAGCCCGTCAACTCAAAATCAGCCAAAGGAAGTTAAAATAAATGATAATGTTAACGAAAGAATAGCGAACAAGAAAGAGAACAAGAGAGAGGTTCCAAGGCATTCTAGGTAAGAAGAGAGATAAATCCTGGATCACATACATAGAAACGCGGTTTGCAAGAACACATGCCAGAAATCACATGATTATATAAGATTAGCACAAAAATTGGCCAAGCAAGGGCAAAAAACTAGATCCTTACAATATCAGGCATTCAGTCCTCCTCATCACCTTGTACAGCAAAAATTCTATGTTACAACGAAATTCAGATTCCTATCCCAGTCTAGATCAAAATTCCTCCGTTGATGGCTCTTCTCTGCTAGGGAAAGACTTTGATCGCGATGTCGGCGACAATCGCTTCAGACTTCGATCGAGTGGTAAGGGGAGGAGGAAGCGGACCCATCAGCGGAATGCTAAGAAGGTAGGAGAAGTGTGGATTGGAGGAAGGAGGAGAATGAGGCCATGGGAGGGAGGCGAAGTGCTTACGTCGCATTCGTCTTCTGCTAGTGAAGCGGGCGAAGTTTTTGCAGCTGTGTGAGGGGGATTACGGGCGGTGAGGGCAAAAGGGGGCAAAATAAGAGGTTTAGGGGGGCAAATTACTTAAATACACCTCTCTTATAATTTTTAAAAAAAATTAAGGGGGGGCAATTGTCCCCCTAACGCCAACTTGGTTCCGCCCTTGCTACCAAATAAGATTAAAGGAAGATGTGTTGTAAAAATAACAAATTTATTTTAACTTTGTAAATCATACATATATATTTTCTTGCAATTAGACCCATCAATAAAAAAAAAAAAATTGATGTATTGGTGGTCAATGGCTTAAGAAAATTATAAAGCCCCCCACTCCCCCACCCTAATCCCTTCCTTTATTTCTATCCACACACTAACAATTTAACCTCCCCTTTTTCCTTCACGTTCCCCTCTATCTCTTCCTCATCATTGCAAAGGGCCTTAAAACAACGAGCAATGAATAGAAGTTCTTTTGGCCTCCTCATTTGCAACATCTTCGCATAATTTTTGAAGAAAGGGGAACATGGTTTGTTGCGCTCGAAAGTATCCCCATGCAAAATACTTGCATTGTGTCCCTAACCACATTTATTGATGTGGTGGGATGAATTTCATCAATCACAATATTCTATATGCTGCACCTAAAATGCTTTTATTAACATGGCATAGTGACATGCTTCTATTACCCCCTTGCAAGGGTGATACAAAAGCATTGTCAAAATATACCTAAACATGTGGATAAAAGTAAAACATAGCGGCAAAAAATGAAAAGGATAAACCAGATAAACCAAGAACAAAAAAAATTGCATTGTCCATGCAACGTGGTGTATTAAAAAATCCGCTATAAATTAAATGTAACAATTTGATTCAACTTAAAAAATTTCAATTTGCCTATTTTAACAATCTCAAATTAAATTTAACTCTCATATAGTTTTTAAATGCGGTATTAATTGATGATAGAATGTTGGAAGCCATAAGCGCCTAGACTTAAATATATAGCTTCATCCTATACCAAGTTTTCTAGCTTCAACACAAATCAATTATAAAAGAAGGATATATTCAGTACATTTTTGAGGTTACATACCGAAGGCTATCTATTCGATTGCAATGAATTTCAGTAAACTAATGGATGGAGACATAAATCATGACATGAAAAACAAATGTATTAAATGAAAGCTTAATTGAAACAAACTGAACACTTTGGAGCTTTTCTGATGCAACTAGTTAGGTGCCTTAATAAAATGTAACCAAAAGTACTGCAAGATTTATGCGACTTAAATGTAACAGGTGCAATTTAAAATGTTGTAGATATTACAAACTCAAGACAATTAAATAGGGGATTATTCATAGTATTACATAGAAACTCTAATGCTTAGATAGTGATGCCGACTTTATATTCGTTAAGTTGCATATAGTTTTAGAAAAATTCATAGCTGTTACTAACTGGACAAAAACTTAAGAATAAGTTTTAATAAAACTTTGTTACTTTTGGGAATATGTGGAAGGATCAATCTTGCTTTAAAAAAAAAATGTTATAATAGACCTTCGTTAATGTTGGGCATATGTGGATGTATCAACCTTTTTTCAAAAATTAACCAAAAGTAGTCCAAGAAACACTTTCTAATGCCAAAACAAAATGAGCATGAGCAAACTAGCTATTGAATTTTGAACGAAGACTATGCATACTTTAAACTACTTTTAAAAGGCAAGTTTTAGTCGGTTGACGAGATTACCAGCGCAGCATTTCCTCCTCAGTTGCAGTTGATGCAATAATGAAAGCCTGGTATTGAGGAAAAAGTAATCCTTACTTAGCTTTAGATGACACAGGAAGCATGCTCAAATATAGACGTTCTAGTCTTCCAGATAATAACTTATAGCTGAAGTATCTATTCAAAAATAATAACTAGCAAATCGACTAATATAATCCAGAAACACATAAAACAATACAAACGAAAGAACCACATCAAGGTCGATGAATATAAGAAATTCAGTGTGAAGCTTGGGCAAGAAGCTATATACTAAATAAATGTTAGAACAAGATAAAGGAAACTTAAACCATTCAAAAAGTGCAGCTAAATTCCTGATAAACAAACGGAAACTAAGCCATCTAAAAGTAGCTGGAGAACCAACTAATTTCATACAAACAATTTTCAATTTGATTAAAGTCCACTCAAAATTATTTGACAATCTAGGAAGCTAATTTGGGGGCCAAATAAACTAATAAACTTTCTCACACAAAAACAAGTTGAGGCTCTAAATCTAGTGAGAGACCAAATTTTATGGATAAATCAATCAAATAAAATTGAATCAAATATAATTATGATGGGGTGATGTAGAACGGGTAGGAGGATTAGATCTTAAATGTGTCTTGAAGAGCAAATACAGAATCTAAACAGCAGCTTTTGGCATTTCTGAGTGAGAACAGCCATCAATTTTGGTCTAGAATACTGGGATAGAGGTTGGGGATCCTTCCAAGGAGCTGGACAGCAAGTTGTATGGCTCAGGAAATCCGAACAGCAGCCATAAGAGGGCGTTGAACAGCAGCAGGAGAGTTCTGGTGTTGACCTCGTTTTTAGCTTAGCTTTTTCCCTCGAACGTATTTGATCGTGTTGATCGAGCCTCGTCGAGTCCGATTCGATTCGAATTAACATTAATTTGAGTTCGATTTATTTTATCTTATTTTACTAAATTAATTTTGGTCGAGTCGAGGCGAGCTCGAGTTGGACACATCCTGCGGCTGACGGGTACTACGTTGCCCTTCTCCAAGGGACTTCACGCCACAAGCCCGGACCCATAGCGGCTGGTGGAAACTCTAAATCCCTCCCATAGAGATTTCACTAACGTTCTTCCCAAAGAACACAAGTGCAAAAACACAAATTTTATTAATAATCCATCATCCTAATACAAGAGCAAATGCCTCTATATATAGGCCTTAAAAGAAACTAAAGGACAATTTTGCCCCTTGGGATTACATAAAACAAATCCCTTAAGGGTAAAAAAAGAAAAATGCATAATTAAATAAAAATTACAATTAATAAAATAAGATAAAATGAAGGGATCTCGGCCGTCGATCTTCAGCTCCTCCTCGGATAGGCATGGACGGTTGGATGTCCGCATCAAAATGAGAAAAGGGAGCCTACATCAGAACAGTTGAGGCTCTAAATCTAGTGAGAGACCAAATTTTATGGATAAATCAATCAAATAAAATTGAATCAAACTTAATTAGAGTTCTTTGTAAGGCTCAAATATAATTATGATGGGGCTTACTACTTTATTTGCGAGTTGCTTGAAAGGGCAAGATGGCTCAACATCGAAGTTTAATTTTATTTTATGGGTTTGGATGCTTTGTGTCGGCCGTTATATTGAGATGAAATGGGGCTTACACATCCATTAAACTGACCAAATTTTAATTGGGTTTTAATAGTCATTCTAGACCTTGATAGGCATTACACAAGTGTATTTGAATTGAATCATTTACTCGATACTTTTGTAGATGCATTTGCATGAATATTGACACGAATTATTTTTGACAGCTTTGTTTATGTGTATGTGCTTTCTTATAACATTCTTATTTCCATAATTTAAAGAATATTTATAGTTGGCTTGCTTAAATTAGTCAAAGTTTGACATTCAATTACAGGGCTATATATCTAATTATCCGATTGGAAGTTGTGTACTTCAATTGAATCCCTGAGGAAATAATGTATTATTGTGGGCTCCAAAAATTCGGCCCCAGCCTCCACCCGCTATTGATTTTGCTTTTCTTTCGGCAAGGGAGTTTTAACGAACTAAGTTTCAGGGTAAATTTCGAAAAGGCAAATGGGTTTGTAGATAAGACACTACCCAGAGATTTCGCCCTCATTTTGTGAGGACTTTATGATCTGAGTTCTGGTTTCTTATAGGCGCAAGCCCCTGTAGTTAATTACCCCTCCTGATAACGAGAGAGAACTTTTGATTAAGGCTAGTCTTCAATCAGATACGTAGAATATACGTGGTATCTGGCATATAGTAGCAGCATGGGTTTGAAAACTGGAAGTTGGGTTTGAATTTGGAATTTGGGTTGGAAGATTTGATATTTAAATATAAATTGCACCATCTTGCACTTAAAGCGGATGGTGAGGGAATGGATGATAGGCCTGATCAAGATCCCATGGTTCCGTCATCCCAGACCATCGTGGTCCCTGGTCTACTTTGTCAGAAGAGATAGTCAATCTAACCTGACAGAAGGATCCTTGTCGGCAGCCATGGATTGCTTCATCAAAGGGGACCTTGTAGACCTGGGGTGAGTATTTGCCTAAGGGGACAAATTTGAATCCACCTTAGCTAACAGAGGGCTTTGTGCCCTATCGATTATACCCTATTGATTCATATCTCAAGGATTTGATGCCAATAAGGAACATATTGGCTCTGGCCATAACCGATATTTCGTGGTGCCATTTGGTGGCAAAACCACTCGATTTAGAGGGTCCCGAGTCATAACCATTTATCCTACAGTGCCATTTGGCGGCAAAACTGCCGGTTAGAGGACATGTACCACGTCCTTACTAACAGGAGATTATTTGAGAATGGATCCTAGTGATATTTTCGACTAGGCATTAGCTCTTTGTGAGCTGAAGTAGTTTTCAATTTGTTCACCCAGACAAACTATTGCGGATGGTTGATGAATTTTGTCTTAAGTGCTTGATGGATGATTTCGAATTTAAATATCTTGGACTTTGAGACTTTTGGAGTTTTGGACTTTGATGGACATTTAAAGTATTTGGAATTTGAAAGTATTTGTGAACCTCTCCGGTTGAGATTCGCATTCAACACAGCCATCATCGGGGTATTTGGGGTTATTTCAAAATCTTCATTGATTGGACCCTGTCACCCTATCGACAAGTCAATAGGGGATCAAGTTTCATAGACTTTGTGCCTTTGTTAGTGAATTCTCTTGATTATAGGCCTTGAAGGCCTAATATGAATGTACAAAATAAATATTCCGGTCAATTTCGTGACCGCATATTTATCCGATGATTCAAACCCTGTCTACTCCTATTTACCTGCTTAGGAGGATTAGGTTTCGTAGGCTTTATGCCTTTATTTAGTGAATTCTCTTGAGTATAAACCTTGAAGGCCTAATAAGAATGTATTAAAATGAATACACCGGTCCCTACAATCGTGTATTTGTTTGAAGGTTCGAACCTTGTCGACTCCTATTGATATGCATAGAAGATCGGATTCGAACTTGAATTCACTTATCGACCCACGCAGCATCCTTAGGTATTATGTGTGTGCTAATAACATGCTCGTTGGGGCCCATGCAGGTTGAGATTATATTTTTCCCTTTAGTGTACCTATGTGTATACAAATTATAGTGCATGTGCAGGGATATTTACTTCAGACTTTGTTGACGCCTTCTGTCTGCTTGTACAAAAGTTGTAGATTAGGTGGCATGACGTTGTAGATTGCAGACGCCTTCTATCTCCTTGTATAAGTGCTACAAATTCGATGGCGTGGCGTTGTAGATTGTAGATGCCTTTTATCTTCTTGTATAAGTGTTGCAGATTCGATGGCGATCTTATCTAGATGTCATGAGGCATCTCATCATCTTGATGTTGACTCCCCCTTTCTCACTCACCGAGAAGGTCTTCTTTGAAGTTCGTGGCCACTACCTTGAAAAGGAACTCTGATGGGGACATCAGTTGGAAAGTTTACCGTCGACGTGGCCGTAGATCTACAGCCACGATTTACCCACTGTATTTCTGATTTTAGTATTGTCTTTTATTTTGATG